TAGTTGCAAATTACATTTTTAATTAATAATATATTTGTGGAAAAAAAGTTTTTACTTATAAAAATTTTATTTAATACAAATTTATTTCATATAATTTTACTTTATAAAATATAAACAAAAAAAAAGAAAAAAAATTTAACTACTATTTTTTTCTAGGACTACGTTTTCATAATTTATATGCTTTTTCAAAATTAAATTTATCTAAAGAAGGCCCATTCATAACTATCATTAAATGAGATTTAATTTCATCTGATTATGAAGTTTTGTTTTAATTAAATTTTGTTGAGAAAATATACATTCAACATTTCCATTTAAACAGGAACTATAAATGCTAAATGAATAATTTGAGTTAAATTAGGATATTAAGTAATAAATTGAGTAGTATGAAAAATAAACTCCTATCCTTCAACAAATTGAAAAGTTGTAAAATTACATAAAATTAATTTAGCCATTTGCTATTCTTAAATAAGCTCAAATTTATTAATAAGAGCTGAAAATACTTGACCATTTTCAATTCAATCTATACCAGAATATTCTGCAAGATATGCAATTTCTTCTTCTCCAAAACTACTTATTTGTTGTATTGTTGTTGGAACTTGTTTAAAATCAAAAATACGCATAGCATTATATAATACTGTATTAGAAAATCAGTATTTTAAATTAATAATTATTGCATTAGCAAATTCTTTAACAAAATTAGGAATTACATCAACTGAATATTGTATACAATAATCATGTAAATGTGTTCCTAATGTTGGTTCAATATTTTCATCAGGATATCTAATAAATTCAATAGTAATAGAATGAATTGTTTTGTTTAACTCTTGATGAATATCTGAAAAAGCTACATAATCAGATTAAAATATTTTACATAATACTGAAATTATTAATAAAATATCTGCAAGAAATTTTCTTGCTAAAATAAAATCAGTATCAAGTTCTTCTAATAAATTTTAAGCACGTTGTTGTGATTTAGCTGTAGAATTATTTATTACATCATTTTGAAGTACATCTATTACAAAAAAGATTATCTGATACAAATTTGATACAGAATTAGATAAAGAAAGCCATCGAGTTGAAACAACTTGCAAAATTGCTAATTCTAGAGATTTTTCATTTTGTGCTTGAAATATTTGAAGATTTTGCCATCGACTATGAGAATTAGCAAAATATGCATAAAGTTCTTTAATTGTAATTTCATAATCAAGAAAATAAGGTACATCTTTTGCTGAATCTTTTCCTGCTAAAGCTAATCGATAAGCAATACAATAACAATTACTCATAAAAGGATTTAACTTTTTAAGTTTTGTAGCAATACCATTTCGAACTCCTTAAATAAAATTATAATAATTAATAATTTGCTAATAAATAAAGTTAAAATATATAATACAAACCTATTATTTTACTATCGCCATCACTTCCAAAATGTAATAATTTTGAAGGTTTTAACATTTTTGCTAAAAAAAAATTGGTTAAATTATTCATAATGCTATTGCATCTACTTCTTTTAATTCAATTAATCCTAAATACTGAAGTACAGGAATATTATTTGCTACATGTTTGCTTACAATTGCACAAGTTTTATTATGTGTAATTGTATTACTTTCATCAATTAACAAACTCCAGGCTGATAATTTTCTTGTTTCTTCTAAAACTGATTCCTTAATTACTGTTGCAATTGCATGTAAAAATGTAGTTCCAGAAACCGAATTAGTATATTTTGCATAATTTGAAGAGTTTTCAGAAAAATCTGTAACTAATTTTTCTTTTTTTGGACCAAAAAATGGAGAAGTTAAAGTTTGAACTTCACTATCATATACTAATTCGGTTTGATTTTTTAGATTTAAATTCATCAAATTAATAATATCTGGGTAAGCAAAAATTGGAAGATGTTTTTGTGCATATAAATATACACATCGCATCTTTGAAATAATTTCTAATTTATTATAATCAGCTTGTGTAGTAAATCTAGTAAACAAATCTATTTGATTTGCTGGTTGATAATAAGCTTTCATCTCATTTATATGACTATTTATTTTAATATGTTAATTAAGATAATCTTTTTGAAAAGTACTACAACCTTTAACAAAAATATTGTCAGCAGTTGGATATTTTTCACACCAAATACAAAATAAAAGAGGCTTTCTATCAATAATATGTCAGTCTAACCATGGAAACTATCTTGGCCATTCGGGGTTCTAATCAGTTCTTTCATGTTTTTTGTCATCTGATTTTTTTTTTTTGAATTTTCTTTAACCGGTCTTGGAGAACTATCTTCATTTATATTATCGTTACATTTTTGGTTTAATAAAAAAGCTGCTTTACTACAAATTACAAACTTATCCATAATTATTTATAAAATAATTTGATATCGCAAGCTATTAAATTCAACTTTGAAGATATTTTAATTCTATAGATAAGTTATTTACTTTTCAGATGTTAGTGGTTCTAATTATTTATATTGATAAACAATAAAACTATTCTTTATTCAAAATAAATATTATATTATAAATTACTTACTTTTATAAGTTTAATTATTTATCAATTTCATTAATTAATTATTTAACATGATTAATCAAGATTACTTCAAAAAGATAATAACCAATTCTCTTAACTTAAAGAATTTTAATAATCTTGTTTATCCTTTAGCTTTAAATCTATTATTGTTTTTATTTTGCCGATTGTTTTATAATAAAATAAATGCTATTGCTATATATTTAACTTTATATTTTGATAATGATAATGATAACAATTATTTAAGATTATAGCATCTCGATCTTTAATAATAAGTAAATACCTTATATATTTAATATAATCCTCTAGCCAATACTTCTGATATTACTAATACTTCTAGCATTACTAATATCTTAATCATCACTAATTCTTCTAATATCACCAATTTTTCTAGCATTATCAATTTTTTAGTATACTAATTCCTTTAGTATACATATATTAGCAAATTTTTGATAACAAATAAATGCCTTATATTTATACTTAAATAACTATTTCAGGTTCAACAAAAAACGAATTTGTTTTTTGTTCAAAAAAAACTTTGCTACTAAAATCTGTATAGCATAAATAAGACTTTTACTACCTTGTACAAATTATGACTATATATTTATTAATAAACTCACATAAACTTATTATTATTGCTCAATCAGATGACTTTATTAAGGATAAATGGAAAAACATATGAGAAAACCTGTTCGCTATCCTAATCGGGCTCTATACGACACATAGGTAATATACTATCTAGAGATAACAATATTTTAACCAAAATAATCCAGCTGTATTCTCATATAATAGGAAGATTATCAAGAAGAAAACAATATAGGTAAAGGAGAATCGGTTATAAAGCTCTAAAAGGGTAATGTGAGATTGGTCATCCAAAACAGGAGGTTCTTGCGAAGCCTAAATCATAAGTAATAATAGGTTTTTGCACTGCTCTTGTAGCCACAGAGTCTAAAATTTTACTATAATGTCTTTGTACTGCTTTGGCAGCCGTAAAGCCTTTTGTTAACCTAAACTGTCAGGCCATTACCATATGGAAAGGAAGGAAAGGACGATAGAGCCAGCCTATACTAAAGGCAAGCTATAGCAAAAAGAAAGGTACCCTCCTTTAATGACAAAAAAATACTTTAAATAAATCCCATGATTACTACAAAAACCCGCTCTACCCTTCTGACTTCATATGATTATATACGATACTTCTATTATTTCCAGTTTACTTTACTTCTTACTCCTTATTACTAATTTGCTAATGCCTTAGCAACATGAGAATAATCATATGCAAAATAATTATAACTAGAAAATACTTGCACCCGACAAAATAACCCACGAATAATTTCAAAACAGCCATAAAATGCTAAAACAATTAATTCGAACATGTGACCTATAAAGTCATCTGATTTCGCAATAATGGTCCTTCGTTGACACAAATTACAATAAATCATCTGATAATCAAAGTGACTATAAATTGCATATTTATATGATTCAAAGCAATTTATTCAGTAACAACTAATTCTATACAACAAAATTATATCCACTAAGAATTTTATCAGTATCTTTAACTTTTATAATTAAAATAGTATTTGCCTACTTATCGCATGAATACTAAAATAAATCTTTAGTAAAACTATCTCTGGTTTTACAACAAAGCAATTTAAACTCAGATTATTTGTTATTAAATACATATTAGCTTTCTTATGTACCAGAGTTGTCAAGTTAGTATATCTAGTAATTAGAAATTACTAAGTTACTAAACCAGGCCATATTTGACTTATAAAATTATTATGTCTATTATTTGTTTGTATGAACAAATCGATCCATCTTTAATCTAAAAAATAATGTTCACAAGGAATAGTTTTATATAAATATTAAGAATGTCTTTTTAAATTATTCAAATTTAACATATCCGAACTTACTAAAACAAATTTATAGCAATCAATTCTAATCTTTAATATCCGCAGATTCATTTTATATTAAATCTGCAGAATAAAAAAGATTGTATAATATGCAGAAAATCTGTGAAACCTTTTTTTTTATATTTGCAGAATCCGCATGTACTTAAAAAAAAATACTTGCAGAATAAATTTTTAATTTGCGCACTGCATATTCCGCATACCAATTTTAAACACTGCTTGTAATACCAGTTAATATACTAAAACTTTCTTTTTAATAAATAATAAAACTCTGAGCTTGCTAGCAAATAGTATATAAAAACTATTTTTTTAAATAACAAGTGCTATTCCTGCAATAAGTAATAAACTCTAAATTTACTAGCAAGTAGTATATGAAAAGCATTTAGGAAGATTGCATTTAGAAAGGTCTAATTGTACTACTATAATATAGTATAATCTTTATCTTTAAATATTATTAAAAAAATTTTTATTTAAATATTTTAAATTTTAAAAAAAGTAAATCATTAGTATTATTTAATTTGATTCTAATTTTTTTTTTTTAAAAGTGAAATCTTGGTCTCAGTTGCTTTTATTAATATAATTAAATTATTAACTTTATACAAAGTAAACCCAACTTATATTTTTATTATAACTAGAAACTTAAAGCTATATTTAGATTATCTATATCTAAGAACTACTTAAACTAGATATTTTTAAATATTTATATTTGTTTTAATTTACTCTTAATCTAATTCCAACTAGAAATAATCACAAAATTAGCCTGAAACTCCAAGTTCATATATATTTATTTACAATTTTTTAGTATTATTTAGTTTTAGTAATTATATATAGTATTACTTAATATTTGAAATTGGTTTGAAAGTCTATTTTAATAATATTCTGGGTTCTTAATTCTGCAATATAAAATCCTAATTTTGAAGTTTGAAGTTCTTTATAATTATTTAATCTCTACATTTACTTTTTTTGTAAATTTATTTAAATTCTAGTATTCACTTTTTGTTACTTTTATACTCTGTGTTTTTGGTTTTATCAGTCTTTTATTCTAAATAGTTTGGTAGATTAGGTCTGCTTAGCTTTAGATATCTTATAGTTTTTTTTTTCTTAGTATATACTTCCAGAGCATATGGTTTTCTTTTTTAATATAATTCTGGTAGTCTAATTGGTAAATTTTATCTCAAGAATCTTGTATTATCCAATTTTACTAATTCTTTAGTTTACTTTAGATTAGTTTTATAATATTATCAAAAATTCTTAATATTTTCTACTTAGATTTTGTCAAGCTAGTTTTAAATCTTAAAGTTCTTTTTTATTAGTTTTATATAGTTTTAAAAATCTTATTATATTGTAAGTTTGCATTATCTATACTAGTTTGTATTTTTTTTTGCAATCCTAGTATTATACAAATATTTCTAAAACTTTTTAATGCACAAAGTATATTAGTATAACCAGAGTTACAGATAATAGAACCTAACTTATTATAAAAATTTGTTACTATAATACAAATATTTTTGTTTAAAATATTGCTAAACTTTATATTATAGTTAAGCTATTTTAAAGATACAACAACTCTACTATTACTTTAAATTATTATACTTTTTAATTTACTTCTAATAAAAACTAAAATTTTAAAATATATTATAATTTTTATTAATATTTTCATTATTGCTTTTGGTTGAAATATATATTGACAAGATTAAATATTAAACAAGCCAAAAAATAATTAAACTTTTTAATAAATTTATCTAAATATTTAAATTTTTAGTTGATAAGATTTATTTTTACTAATTTTTTTTGCAATGTTTTTATTATTGCTCTTAGTTAAATATATATTAACAATTAAGCTCTTTAATAAATTTATTTAAGTATTTAAATTTTTTGTTAATAAGATTTATTTTTACTAATCTTCTTTATAATTAAAAGATACAAAAATTATAATACTTTCAAAATTCTTATATAGAATAGAATACAATTTTATTTTTTAACAAATAATAACAAAAATATATTACAAGCTTTGTATTATCATATTACTAATTAATTAACAGGTTGTTTTTAAAATAGTTTTGTAATTACATATTATATACAGATAAATAAAAAATTTTTAAATTATAATATTAATATATTTAATTATAACAACTATGTTGATACTTTAAAAAAAAAACTTTTTAGAATCAAAATATAACTTTTGTATTACTTAATATATAAAAATTAAGTATTTATTACTATACTAGCCAATTATTTATATTATTTTTAAAATAAAATTTGTTAATTAAAAGTGCTAAAGTAGTTATTATAACAAAAAAAAATTAGAACCTAATAATAAAAACATTAAATTACAAAGATATTCTTAAAAAAACAAAAAAAAAATAATATATATTAGATTCTAATAATAATAGTATAAACTTTAAACAGGTAATATAATTTTAATTTATTAATATTTTTTATAATATAAAAATTATTATTTATATTAGATAAATTTAACCTTAATAAGAGTGTAGTTAGTGATGCAAACAGCTCAGCTTGGCTTGGCTCATAGCTTGAATTAATCAAGCCAAGCTAATCTTTTAGCTCTAAATATCAGAGCCAAGCTGTTTTAG